TAAACTAATGAGAGAACACTCTCTTTTTTAAGAAGAATAACAGAGGCCTGCAGAAGTACCATTTGCAGGGCACGGCCCGGATTTTTTTTTAAGATTTTTTACGCTATTTTTAAAAAAATTTTTAGGCCGCTCGGCTTTTTTTTAAAATTTACAGGCTCGGCCCGGCTTTTTTTAAAATAAAATTTTCAGGCCCGGCCTGGATTTTTTAAAAATAAATTATATTTATTTTTGATTTTTATAGCTAATAATAACGATTTCAAATATAGGCTGTTTTAAAAAATACAGCGCGGCTTGGGTGTTTTTTTTTAAAAATTTATGTCCGGCCCGGGTGTTTTTTAAAAAAAATTTTGGGCCCGGCCTTGGTATAATTAAAAAAATTAAAATATTGTCCGGCCCAGGAGCCGGGCCTGCAGGTCTCTGAAAAACATACCAAGAAGTACAACATGTGAAAGTAGATTGAAAGGTTTGGATTTTTTGAATATTCATAGGCATTTGACGAAAAGCAAGGATGAGATAATTGAAAAATTAGCTCAATTCCAACGAAGATTGGATTTTACCTTGTAAATATATAAAATACAAAATACAATTATTCCTAAGAAACTTTTTGTGTAAAGGCTCAAAAAATTCAAATTTCTATTTTGGGTCATTTAAGTGATTCTTTACATATAATTTTTTTATAATTAACATTAATTTAAAATTGTGTTTTAGAATAGTTATTAGTCCTAATAAATTTATGCTTGATATTTTTAAAAAACAATAATATTTCTCAAAAAAATTTATTATCCCCCCCCCAGACCAAATTCCTGCGTACGCGCCTGAATTGAATCATATTATAAATAAATTGTATATTTTTTTGTGAAATTACTAGATTATATTATTTGTATATTTCGCGATATAGTTAGATAATTCTTAAAATAAAGAAATAAGCATATTGTAATTTATTTTCAAATAGTATTAATCAAAATAAAAATATAATCAAATTCAATAAAATATATCAAAATTTTAATGCCATGACCGGCCAATTAAAATTTGAAGAAAAATCAGACAGTTGCGAGGCCCTGCCTAATTTTTTATATATAAATTATCCGACCCGAAAAATATTTGTGCACAAATTTCCCAGCCCGTTCCGTTATAATTTTTTGAAAATTTGATCTCTACTATATATTACATGATACATTAAAGATAAATTTTTTTTTGCAAATTCTATTATGACTATTGAATTCGTTTTTCAAAGTAATAAATATTAATTATATAATCCCAAACCATATCAAAATAATATTCCCCAATTTGGTGAAATGTTAAATGGTTATAATTAGAAGGCCTCTAAAAAATCTCACATATAATTTTAAAAAAAAAGAAAAATCCAATTTAAATATCAAATAAATTAATGGAATATAGATCAAAAGGTTTTATAACATCATAAATATCCTTGAGGAGAAGGGGAGAGAGGGTAATAATGCGAATAAATTAAATAAATATAAAAATTATACTATTGATCAGATTTTTAACGGTCCTGTTTAAAAGTAGGTAGCTCCCGCTTCCTCTACTAAATTTTTAAAAGGAGCTAGCTCCTTCTCCAAGTAATGGCCTTTGATTTCCATTTTTTTAGAAAGTACACGAAACAAAATCATATCATTTTATCAAAAATTATTTATATTAAATGATATAGAAAAATATTTATAATTTTTTATTAGTTTTAAAAATAATAAATTTTCTAAATTTGAATCTAACAAACATCTTCCTCTCTCCTAAAACCTGTTTGACAATACTAAACAGGCGCCCAACTGGAACACTAGAAAGAATCGGGGTATTGTATTTTATAAAAATATTTTTTAATTTAGGAAATTTATAAATTAGTAATTTTGATATCATTATTTAAAAAATATTTGTCCAATTTATTATCTTCCTGATGATCAATTTCATGGAATCCAAAAAAATCTTCCAAATCATTGCAGGGTTCCCGTAAACTAGTAGCTATTTTTACATTAAGAATTTGTTTTGTTAAAAATTTTATTAATTTGTATTTTAGTACCATATTTTGTGCATTTTCTATCCATTTCCAATTTAATATGAATGCAGGATGGATAATAGCCGCAATGATATTTTCTATCATTATAATCATTTGAAAATCTGCAATAAAGTTATTTTAGATAATTTATTTTTTATTTCGATTTTTTCTTCTTTGATGTCTGGATCCATAATATCAAAAACTATTTTTTTATCATATCTATAAAATGAATATTAATATGACTTACAAGATTTTCCAAGAAATATTTAATATAAAAAGAAATAAAAACTTAATGTTCAATATTTTATTTTAACTGATTAGATGAGAAACCAATATATAAAACTAGGAAAAAAAAACATTTAATATTGTATAAATTTAAATTAAATAAAATTTCCTTTTTATTAAATTTTAATTAACAAATAAATAGATTTATTAATATTTAGAAAATAATTTAATTTATTACATTAAATTTAAAAGAGCGAAGCTCCTCCACTCCAGCCCTAAAAGGAGCTAGCTCCCTGATTTTTAAAGCGCTCCAAGTGTTTTTAAAAAAGTGTAACAACCAGGGTTGGCAAGTCGGTCAATTGACCAGTCAAATTCAGTCAATTGACCGGTCAATTGACCGGAGGAGTATTTGACCTGTCAAATACGGTCAAATACTCTAAAAAATTTAAAGGAAAAATAAATTAAAAATATGTTTAAAAAAGGGAAAAAAGATGTAAATACATGTGATCACAATGTTTGCTTATTTTTCGGGTCCACAATATCAAGAGGAGAACTCACTAGTAGTGTAATTAATGAAGTATGTGATATAATTCAAGAATTAGCTATTTTACAAGGTAGTGATGACCAAATTATATTTAGTGATATAATTAATTTCAGAAGCAAAAACAGCATGTTTAATATAGCAAGCAAAATATGTGGAAAGTAGTAATTTCCAGAAACAATCAATTCCGACCTCAAGTTAATAGATTAAACTTTGTCTACCCTGCCCATTAAGAGACTAACAATTCCTAGTTCTACTTCTTCTTTAGAAAGAAATAGGTCGATTTGGGTTAATATTCTTATGAAAATAGAAATCGATTTAAGATCTAAGATATCAGGAAAATTGTTTAAAAAATATTAAAGAAAATGATAATATTGAATATGAATCAGAACAAGACTCTGATACAGATAGCTACACGTTAGTTATTGAATGAATTTAAAAAATTAATATTATAGATTCATTTTACTATTATATTCAAAATAAAGTTAATATTAACTTTAAAAAAATATATTTGAATTTGACCACATTTGACCGTATTTGACCATATTTGGCCGGTCAAATATCGGTCAATTGACCGAAACGTATTTGACCGGTCAAATGCACAACCCTGGTAACAACGCTCCAGGAAAGCCACTCCTTAACAACTCTGATATTGATTATATCCAACCTGACTGAAAATTTGTCATTAGATCTTGTATATAATAAAAACCAGTTAATTATCTTAAATATTTAGCGATTAGATTAAAGTGATACGAAGAGTGATGAGTTCAAAAAAAAATTTAATTGGGCGGGATGATGGAAAAATTAAAACAAGATAACGAAAAGATTAAAGAAGGAATGAGAAAGGAAAAAGAATAGAGACTATTAAACTTCGAGCTAATAAATCTCCAATAAGCTAAACTTTATCCCTAGTCTTTTACCTTTTTCGTTAAAACTACCTTATTCCCTCTCTAAGAAAAGATAGTTAAAAGAAATGTTGGATTACTATATAATATAATGGTGAAGAAAACAGCGTTATTTACTTTTGAAAAGCCTCTCGTAAATAAAATGTATATATATTATATCTACTGTTATTAAACAGCCCGATTTGGGTCGACTTAAAAATATTATGTAGGCCTGGAATTTTGTTCACAATTGCAGAAAGGTTTGACCCTCTATTTACCAAATCTCGAGGCTTAAAAAATATTATTTTAGCTCTTAATGGGACCGTTTTTAAAAATGTTTCAAATCGCACTAATTATAATTATAGGCGTACCAGGATTTTTCTAGGGCGGTAGGCGGGCTAACAGGCGGGATTTTCCATTATAAATTTTATTGAGGTCTTCTTGTTCAGTTATTATAGGTCTTTTGCTATATTAGATTTTTATTTAAATTATTTTGGGTTTTCACTTTTTTTATTATATTAAAAATGATTTTTTTTCTAAATATTTTGAATTATAGTCGTTATTTTAAAAATAACTTACCTAATTTTTCTTTCAATTTCTTGTTTAATATTTTATACTTTTGGACAAAAGCGGGTGTAGGGGAGATTTTTTTATTAGCTTAAAATAATATTTACAAAAACAGACAAATTTGCGATTCGCATATTAAATAAAATTAATAAACAAAAAGGTAATCAAAATTCTTCATCCATTCAATCAAAAAGATTTATTAATTTTATAAAAAGTATTTCCAAAAAAAATAAACTTCAACCCCTTTCTAAGTTTGGGTCGCCTTTATGAAATAAAAAAGGAGTGGGGGGGGGGGACCTAGGAAAGAATTTTGTTTTAGAGCGCCAAAATTTAGTTCGAATATTTTAATTTTTGGGCAAAACATTTACTTAAATAATAGACGCGCGTTGCCACTACTTCATAGCACTTTTTATAAATTCATGTATATATAAAATAAGAACCGTTTTTAATGTTATATTATAATAATTTGATGATCCCCTGCCTCCAAGATACAATACCAATATGATAAAATAAAATTTGAATCTAAAAGGAATATTGATAAAAAAAAATATTATGTCAAAAGAAAAAAATCAATAGTTCTCCTCTCCCGTTCCCCTTATTTTTTGTAATTAAAAATAAATAATATATCTTCTCACTTTAAAAAAAATAATATATATTTTAGAAAAATTATTTTTACTATTTTACAAAAACAAACTAAAATTTTCATTACTCCCTTTTTTATTTTTGAAATTTATGAATTATAAACGTAAAGCAAGTCTAATGATCATAATTTAAACAATCATATATTTATTATATAATTTTTTTTATATAGTACTCAAGAAAATGAGATATTTTTTAAGAAAAAATTTGATAATTAGCTGTATAAAAAAATAATAATTGAAAATGAATTGATGATTAAGGACAAACGAAAGTTCAGAAATAATGAAAATTCTCAAATGATCGGAATCCGGTAATTTCAATGGGATGTTTGAATTCGGTTGAAAAGAAATATAATGTCAAACCTAAGATAAAAAGTTAATTTAAAAAAAAATTTTACATTCAAATTATATATCATTTTATTGTTTTAATCAAACTTTAAAATTTGTAAAGTATCGTTCTAAACATGAAGGACTTGAAAGAAAGTAAGAAAGAAAGAAAGAGGAGATATACTAGAAAAGAAAAAACAAATCATCCTAATTAACTTTTATAACCTACCTTCTTTTTTTTTACCATTTATCGAAATAAAAAAATACTATCATTTATAAAATAATTATGCTTTTGTTTATTTGACTCTTTGAAAATTAAATTTTATCCTTTTAAAAACATAATAGTCTATTATTAAGAATATATCAAAAACAATTATTTATATTAAAAATATCTAGAAATTAGTGGTAACGGCTTAATTTGAGCCGATTTTTAAAAACTCAATATTTTATCCAGAAAATATTATGCAAGCCTAAAGATTTTACTCATAGATGGCTCATATGATTGAACATCTATTGGCGAAATCTCGACGCTTATGCTATATTTTCCTGGCTATGATGTTGAGTTAGCCGTTTTAAAAAATCGGCTCAAATTGAGCTGTTCAACAACACTACTAGAAATGATTGGAAGAATAATTCTAATTATATATATTAAAAAAAGAAAAAGAATAAAGATCCATTTATGCATGTTAATTTAATTATATTGTGTTTTTTAAAAAATCGAATTAGTATTTATTTAATGCTTAAAACAATTGAAACAGAACTGCCAACTTTTGAAGAATTTTGCAGAGATTTTGGAGTTGAAATTCAGACAACCTTTTATCATTTTTATATTCTGTTCCCTAGCGACATATTTAGTTATTCAATGGATAATTGTGGAACAATCTTTACCGTTAATTACTTTGTTTCTATAAAATAAATATTTCAATTTGAAATATTATCATTGAATAAATTTAATTGTTTTTTTTTAAATTAACGTATTACCCTTAGGGGAGAACGGGTCGCTGTGTACAGGGGAACATTGGTCCACTCAATTTTATTTTAAACTATTTTTTATAAGACTGGAAATTTAAGTCTAATATAGATAATTACGTCCATGATTGGCCATATAATTTGATATTTAGTATTTTAATTTTTTTTAGAACAAAATGTAATTGCAAACTTTATCGTTTTGATTTATAAATAAGGCTTTTAATACTTAATAAATATATTTTAGGAAAGTTTAAACCCTATTTACTGACTATTTTTAAAAATAATAAAAGATAGGTTAATATGATTCTAAAATGACATTTGTAAAGTTAGTGGGTTGGGTAATGGTTGGTCATAGGATGGTTGGTCCTTTTAATTATTAAATTATATTTTGACTACAATAAGTTTCAATTTATCAATTATGAATTTTTTTTACAAAAATACCTAAAATTTCTTAAAATCTCTAAATTCAATTTAATTTACTTAATTTACTTAATTATTGCGTATTTAATGTACTTTATAGCCTCTAATTTTATAACAATATCAAAAAAAGATTTAATTTAATACTTAGCCCTTCATTTCTTTAATAGCCCAAAGTTAATTTGCTTTTTTAAAATGTATAAAATAACTTATTTTGTGGACTTTATTATATGTATATATACAGTGGCGTATCCAGGATTTTCTTATAGGGGTGGAAAAATTTTTTGGGGGCTTCGCCCCTAAACCCCTTTTACCTGGCCTTCGGTCAGCTTTCCCCCGGCCTTCGGACGGGTCTTATTTAGATATAATTATATTTCTATTTTTAACTATTATTTACTAATTCGTGCTTATGGATAGGATATTACAAGCCTCTTTTTTTATTATTTCAAGTTAGGTATATTATATTTAATAAAGTTTTTTTAAATGTAAAGGTTTATTTATGTGTAAAGTTGAAATAAAGTGTAATGTCATTTTTTTTTAAAATTTGCTTTAAAAACTAGCCTCAGCTTAAATTCTCATACAATATAAGTAGAATATAAATTTTTTTATTGAAAATATTAATAGTAGTTAAAAATATTGACTAGAAAATAATTAAATTAACAAGTTTTTTTTAACTTCTTATCAAATACAAGATTTTTAATTATTTCGTTTGTCTTTGGAACCAAATCTCTGTGTATATTTAACAGAGCTAACCCATTTAGCCGATATTCAGTACTTCGTAAATATGTTTTCAACCTTCTCAAGTTGGAAAAAGTCCTTTCATTCGTACATGTTGTAATAGGCAAACATGCAAGAATATAAAACAACTTCGAAATATTAGGAAATTGAGCCAAGGTTTCTTTACACCGATTGAGCGTATCAATAGCATGCTCAGGTAAAATAGCTAAACGTATAAATATTTATACCACAATTCGAATTCACTGATTAAATTTATTTCATTATCAATCTCATAGGAATAAAATTTTTCTAAATATTTAATTTTACCAATAGTGGCATTAGAAAGTGAAGAAGGATCTTTGGGTAATAAAACTTGAAGATTGCTAAAGACTTGTTTTTTATCTAAAACCCGTACTTTTATTTGCTATAAAAAAGTATCTAAGAATGGGATGAAAATGGATATTTTATAATATTCTTCAGTTGAGCCAATATTTATTTTCATCTCAATAATGGCCTAGGTGCTAGACGAGGTTTAATTAGTATTATATCATAAAATTTAGCCTTCGATTCAACGTCTAGATAAATATTATGAAAATATTTATCTACATTCATTCTTATTGCATCTACCTGTTCATGTATATTTTCCAATGTTCCGCCAAATCAATAACTTGAACCAAATCTAAATTTGGTTTTTGTAAATTTCTACAAAGTAGTGAGCTAAAAATAATTTATTGATGCAACTAGCAGCAATGATAAACTCTGATTGATCAATTGAATTCAATAATGATATCGCTGCTAACGACACATTACTTTTTTTCATGCTCAGCCTTATTTATAAATTATCGTTTGATTTTAATCTCTTTGACTAAATATTTTTCCATTTTATTAATATTTTTGAATAATATGTTGGAAAATTGATATTCAAATATTTGTAAAATTTTGATTGGTGGGGGGGGGGGGGAATCTGGGGGGTGGGGGTAAAATTTTTATTAGCTTAAAATGATATTTATGAAAATAGTCAAATTTGCGATGGGGGGAAATTTCCCCCTTTCCCCCCCATTGGTTACGCGCCTGTATATATAACTATTAAATAAATAAATATACTATATAAATATTTAGCTACCTTTTACAATCATTAGATATAAATTTCAGAGTAAAACTTTCAGAATATTCTCTGACTTGATACCCACGTGATATTGTAGTTCTTATTTGACTTAATTTTGTTACTTTTTTATGGTCTGCGAAATTGATTGAAGAATTAATTAGTAAGAGGATAAACTAATCCAGATATTTATAATTTATAAATTTTCCGCTCTGACATGATAACAATTATGAAATTTTTTTCTTATTCTACCAATAATTTGTTTTCCCTCTTAAACCATCTACCAAATTGATTAAAACAATATAGCATACTAATTATGTACTACTTAATGATTTGATATATGTTTAAGAATTAATATTTTCAGTTCACTCTTAAAAGCGTTTTCATGTTTTAATTTTGTGTATAACTCTGTTTCTTTTTTGTGTTTTGCAAAACCGATTAAGGTATTAATAAGTAATAATATCATTAAATATTAGCGCAAACTAGATGTTTAGTTCTTCCACATTTCCATTCTTGTATGATGCCCTTTAGATTTTTTGCATAATTTTTTTTTATTTATCTTATATCTATGAAACGGATAAGAATAATATAAAATTAATTACTAATAAACATTGGAATAAAGATTTTCAGTCGCTTTTTAATGTAAACGTTGACTAAAATTATGTTGCCACTATTTTATTTCATTTATATTGCCTAATAGATTGTTTAAAGCACTATAGGCAACAATAAAGCACGTTACATTGTTATAGATTCTAGAAATAATGCTTTTAATTTTTTTAGCTAGATATCAAAGTAACATATTTTAAAAAATCAAATGGAAAATAACCAAGGGTAAATCAAAAAAAATAATATGAATTTTTCATAGATGGGACCTGCCTTAGACCGAGTAAACAAAAATTTCCTAACCACCTTAAAAAAAAACTCTCGTCTGGTAATCCTGGCTACGCCACTGCAGATTTGGAATGATAAACTGAAGTTTTAGAATAATATTATGCAAGATTAAAATAATATATAACAAAATATAATCTTATATACAGGATTGGGCGGGTTGGGCAGTAATCTAATAATAATATTTATTTGAATATTTTAGAAAAGTATTTTAATTACTAAAAAATAAAAAGCATTTTATATTTAATCTGAATTCACTATTTCAGGCGAATACAAATACTTTTTATATTTTATATTATAAATTGAATTTTAAAAGTAAATCCAAAATTTTTTATTTAAATATTAAATTTATGACCCGAATTAGCGAAATATCATATCCGTTAATCCCATTTTATTTTTAAAATGAGTATCCATTTTATTATTAAAATAGTATCTGCGAAAATGAAAACAACGATACAAATTTTTTTGGAAGAAGAAAATGATAACTTTCTGTAATAATAACAACGTCGTCAATACTCTACATGGCATTTAACAATTTTAGATAGAAAGTATAAGAGGACCTCTTTCGCAACTCTCTCACATCCTTATTTTAAAAATAGAAGGTCAGCGTTTTCTGATGAAGGCCTCTTAACTCGAAAAAAATAAGATGGACTAGGCAAATATTCCTTCCGCTTATGTTGAGGAAAACCATTGTATTCGGTTTTAAATCTTAAAATGTTAATAATGCTTTTAACTATGTAGAGTTAGAAGTATTAAATTTAAAAAATAATCGCAAAAATATATTATATCCCAAATAATTTTAAAATTTTTAAATAAAATTCTATTTTGCCTATGCCCCGGTGCTAATACAGTATAAGTGGTATGGATAAGCAAAAAGATATCGAAACAAAATTTCTTTATTTTAAATTTCTTTATTATAAAATATAACTAACTGACTATTAACCTAATAAATTCT